AGTGCGATGATATTTCACTGGACTCTCTTAAGCATCTTACGTTGTTCGCTGATTTAACAGGCAGTTGGATGTCAAAGCATAAAGTCTTTACATTGTGACTTTTCAAAAGTGGCACTTATGGTAAAATGTAGGTGAATCCAGGCTGCTGAAAAAAAGACAGATTTGTTCAGTGCAGTAGCTAACCCCCTCCTTCTTTCTCTCTATTGATTGACAGGTGGAGGCGGGGCACCAGTGGTACCTGCAGGTGATTTATGTGATCAGCCCGGAGTCGCGGTCCAGCCCCAGGATTCAGCGCTCGTTGACCTATGAGCTGAGCCGCTCCAAGCGCGACCTGGTTGATCGCAGCGGGCGTCTGACGCTGGACGAGTCGCTGATCTACGACAATGAGGGCGACCAGGTGAAGAACGGCACCAACATGAAGTCGCTCTACCTGGAGGCCGGGCCCACAGCAACCTTCAACGCCCACATGGGCAGCACGGTGGGCGGGGGAGTGGCAGCCGTCACCCTGCTGGTCCTGGTCCTGCTGGCCTCCTGCTTCCTGTTCCGCCGCTGCCGACAGTCGGGCAAGAAGAAGAGCAAGAAAGCTCAGAAAGTGTACGAGGAGTATCCGCTCAACACCAAGGTGGAAGTGTGCATGGACAAGTGTGGAGAAGAACTTCAGCAGCAAACACTGCACAGTGAGGAACATCAACATCCTCAACCGCAACCAGGAGCCCAACGGCAAGGCCAAGGTCAAACAGGTCAACCTGGAGGTCAAACTCCACAACAACCTCAACGATGGCACTGAGGTCTGAAACACTGACGAGGAAGGAAAGGAGAGGAGGAGGAAGAGGAGGAGGAGGAAGTAAAATAAAAAAAGGTATTTTCTAAAAGAAAGTTTGTACTTAAGGAACGAGATGTTTGTTAATGTATTTTTATACCACTTTGAAAAAGGGAAGAGTGTGACGTGCAGACAGATACGCAGCGTTGTAATCATTTCGCAACTGGGCTACCTCAGGAATCCATAAACCACTCAGCTGCGTGAAACAGCCAAAACATCTGCGTCTGATCATCCAAACTCTATCTGAAGCTGTGGCTAATTTCATCACTGTCTTACTTGACATTTATCCTTTTTAGCACCAAAATGGTGACTGGTAGCTCAGACACTGGTGATTATTCTGACAAAAAAAACACTACTTTGCTGCATTGAGTCATTTCACTGCTACTAAATATTACTACTGTAGAGTTGCAGCCAGTGTAGAAGTCCTCCTTTTCAGCATTTATCATCCACTGTTTCTGCTGAAAAATGAACTCTGCAAACTCTGATTAAACAGAACAAAGTCTCATTTTCCTGTGGAGTGGCTTCTACATCGGCTACAGCTGCTTCTGACTGCTGTGAAAGTATTAAGCACGTACATTGTGCTGCTATTGTCCGAGGCTGAATGAGTGCAGAGTGTAAATAATAACAAAATGAATGATACCTATTCAAGTGCAATTATGCCATACCCTTTGTTAATCCTTCCCTCATAAGCAGGAACTTTATTTGCATTTTTAAAAAACGCGTATTTCAGCCTTACTTAGAGACATTTGTACTCTCACGTTGAACAAAGAGATAATTCTTCTTGTTTCAACACAAATTCTTATTTTCTTGTTTGTACTGTACTCTGATAGCTGCCAATATTAAGTGCCATGCAGTATTTTTCCTCATGAATTTCAAAACGAATCATCCAAAGTGTTTTCTTTTTTTTCCAAGAGTGAGAAAGTGGACATTTCCATGTGATTGTTAAGACAACAAAGGTTTCAGATCCCGTCCACATGACTGAGCGCTTTAGCCTTACTACTGTTCTACTGAAAGAATCATTTTTAAAATGATGTATTTTATAAGAGTGTGTCTACCTGCCTTCGTTCTGCCCAAAGACACAAATCCCCTCACTTTTTAGTTACTCACATCTCACTAAAATGTTTTTTTCTCATGTATGTATTATTTTGTTACCCTCTTATGATGTATTATGTTACGCTCAGCTACTGATGTACCCATGATGTAAAAGTAAGTGTAATTTTTTAAGTGTATGACACTGGTTGGAGAGCACTGCAAAAGAAAAAACTTGTGTGAGATGTGGACGTGTTTCTCTCCACTCCCCTCTCTGATCCCACCTCCTGTTTTCTTTTAACTGTGTGCCTATCAAAATAAACACGGGAACAGGAAATGATGGGAAATGACAATATATTTTTGGTGCTATCATCTTGTGGAAAATAACAATGCTATCAACATGATGCCTGTTTGGTGCCTTTTTTAGTAATAAAAAAATGTTGAAACCCATGATTGTCTGTATAAAATATCCATTATATTTGATTCTTTTCACAAAAAAGTACAAATGAAAAATGAAATCTTACATCAGTGAAGATGACAGTAAACTAATGTGAATGTTTTTTTCTGCAAGATTTAGTAGAAATATTTTAATATATTGTACCCATAATGTAAATGCAAAATGTGGGGTTTTGGGGGCATTTGTTCAACAATATGTTGATGTTTACAGACAGTGAAGTAACAAAAAGTGATATCACCAACATGTTTTCCGGGAAGCTATCTAAATGTTAGCTTGTAAAGTTCTACTGTTGTACTGTACAGTAAAATGTGAACACTTCATTTTAACAAACACAAATAAATTATAATTATCACTGAACAGCTATAGCGCCAATGATGTTGTAATCACGCACCAATTGTGAATTCTAAAGGTAGATTGCCCAAACACATCCCTACCCAGTGCAAAAGCAAATAGCCATTTAGCTTCGAATATGGTAGAGAAAACCACAGCGTAATGTCAAGGCTATTCATAAATGGAAAAAAACAATTCAATGTAAAACTTCCCAGAGAACTGAGAATGTCTTGAGTTGAAGCTACCCTGTGCTAAACCTCAGCTCTTTATGTTTATCATAAAGAGTACAGTCTAGATCTGATCTAAATGAAAAGTACCCTGAGACAACTTCTGTTATGATTTGGCACAATATAAATAAATTGACATTGATTTTGACTAAACTAAAACTCCAGTCTGTATCCTCCCAACAACCCAGCTGACTAAACTCACCTGCTGCATTTCCGGGCAGTGTGGTGGGAAGACACTGTTACTGTCCTCCTGTCAGATCTGTCGGGCGATCACAGGGACTGTGTGATGTGCATTAGCTGAAGAGAGGACTAACACTTGAGGTCTGCCAGAGGCCAAGAAGAAATCTGCCTCTCCCTCACCGCAGGCCCTCTGTCGTTCTCTGATGCTTTACTTTCATCTTCAAACTACTAAACTGGTAACTTGTTTACAGTCTTAGAGCAAGCTTTGATAGACAGACGTGATTTGAAATCATGAAGGTTCAAAGTCTTGAGAGACATGCAGACCATTAAAGATTGATTTCAAACATGAGCACAGCCAGAGCAACAGACAGCCAAGTTAAAAATTAACACTACTGTACAGATGTAGTGCAGCAAGTACACAGTAAAAAATGACTTCTATATTATAAAAACATTAAGTTTATCCTTGCTGAAAATCTTCAGAATAGAAGACACACTTTTTTTAAATCACTGACTGTAACTGTTTAAAATTGCATTCAAAAAATTATGATTCAGTTTGAATTAATGATTTGTCAATGAATAAAAAATAATTGATGTAAATGATGAAAATGGATTTGAGTGTTTTTGATGACTTTGTGATCAGATAACTTGTTAGGCATTTGTCATTTATTAACTGAATGGTTCAATCCAACTGATTATTAGTTTTTTTTGAAATCATTAAATGATGACATGAACTGTTTATTAGGCAGATTCTGACTCAACATATAAACATAAAATAAGCAGTTTGTCATAATTGTGTTTACTCACATAACAAATACTCTACATGTATCAAATAGTTTCAAAGTTGTTCACAAAGTTTTAATAATTTACTAACAATTTCCTCTGTTTTCTAAAACAATGCAATATAATTACGTCCTAGTTACAGTAATTTGAAGTATATAATTCCAGTTACTTGCTAGCATAATGCAGCCAATGCACAGCAGGTCAGCTAAACCTTCAAAAATATGGAAGTTCTATAGGAACGCATACAATTCCACAAATCAAGTGGCACAACTAAATAAATAATTCATGAATAATATGGAGGGATTTAATTGCGCTTAGAGCTTAAATTGAGGGAATTTACATACACATCCTGCATAGTTCTTTACTGGAAACCCTCTGGGAAATAATATATATATATTTGGAAATTACAAAACAAGGCTACACCGAAACAAAAAAAAAACAGTCGCAGATGTTAACATGGTTAGAATATATCTTAAGATTTAAGATTGTACATAGAATACATGAAGTCAGAGGAATGCAGTCACCTTATTACACACTTAGGTTCCTCAAATGTTTATTTTAGTTTTTGCTTAATACTGTTTTGACCAACAATAGTGCATCGATTGTTGACAAAAGATTGAGATTTACCTCTCCTCCACTATGGTGATGTGGTGTGCAGCATAGTGCAGACTATTGAACTTCCTTGTAGTCCTGTCAGTAACCAGATAAATTATTATATTTGATCTTGTGTCACTGTTGTCCTTCAGCTTCTTCAGCTGGTGATTTTGTTTATTTTGTTAAACAATTTTCTTTACATAGTAACAGTATGGTAATACTTAAAGTCACCAGCAGGGGGCAACCCTGACTCAGCTGCAGGGGTTTCAAGCTTTTCAAGTGTCTCTCAGGGGGCTTTGAGAGGCTTGCAGAGGCCATATTTGGGGAAACTCTGAACTGCAAAGATAAGTAGAAGTGTTTTACTGCACTTGATGATTATAGGAGATGCACATTGTTGTCCTTCATACAGAAACTTCCCCTGATTATGTTATTATGTATCCTTCGAATTAGTCTCATCGAAATCAGGAGGTCTTTTAAGAGAGATCTGTGTCATAAAAACATATGAAACAATCAAAATTTATAGACATATTAAATACATTCTTGTATTTCAGGAACTTCTGTATTTAATGATTTTACAAATAATATACTGACAGTTTTATGTTTATTTATTAAAATGTGCATTTATTCATTTCTCATTTATATCAACCGATTGTATCGTACATGCTCATGTTTATACATATCTATCCTGTATTGTGTTTACGTTTACTCATAAAATGTGTGAACTGTACATCCTCACACTTTTATGTCATTTATTAATGAGCTGATTTCCATGTGTGTACGGAACTTCTTTTCTGAATTTTTTATTGATACATCACAATTTTCCTTTTCCCAGCTTTCCTCCGAGTGATCAACATACCTTCAGTGTAGGAATGTAAAAATTGCTAAATTATTTGATGAAGACAGAGGACAGGGGGTTGTTGCTACTTTTTGTTTTAGCCATTTAATAGTGAAGATGTTACATTGCCAGTGTGTTGTAATAACTGTTAAAATATAATTAAATATACTTTCAAAAATAGCTGCTAATCCAAATTGCTCTATAATGCAGTAAACAGTACTGTTGTATCCATCAATTTATAAGGCAAGTCAAATCTAATTGTTAATCATGTATTATTTATAATTTGATAAAATGATTTTGTGACACAAAGTTTACAAACTGTAATAAGTTAGTAATACATTACAATGTCATCATAGGTTGACAATCTAATCATTACACTATTTTTTGATTTGTCACCCATATTACTTTTTGTTTCACTTTTATTTTTCAGCCATTATTATTAGAATCCACAAATCACAAACTGTCTGACTCTGGCAAATTAGAAGAATAAATATTAAAGTACATAGTTAATAAAAGTTATTAAGTAAAGATCAGAGTAGTAGTTTCCTGATAGTAATGCAGCTCAGTGATCTATAAATAAAAAAAAGGAATGTCTTGTCTCATACAAATGCTTTTATTTCAGCAAACTTAACATGTGGTAATATTTGTATGAACACAAAAAGATTAAGCAACTAAGAGAAAAACTGAACAAAGACAGGTGAGTAACAGAGATGGAAAAATGTTTCCCTGAACAACGGGGGAGTCAAAATCAAAAGTAATAATCAGTATCTGGTGTGGCCCTGTACAGGTGTTGTCCCATGTGGTCTGCCACTGTGAGGATCAGCTGTCTTTCCTGTCTCCCTGTAGT